GCTATCCAGGAACACCAGGCACTCCAGGTACTCCTGGTTCTCCAGGCTATCCAGGAACGCCAGGTGCTTCAGGTACCTCGGGCTCTCCTGGAACCCCGGGAAGTCCAGGCTCTCCAGGTACGGCCGGTTCTGCTGGAACCCCAGGAAGTCCAGGCACACCGGGTACTCCCGGTTCTCCAAGCTATCCAGGAACACCAGGTGCCCCAGGTAGTCCGAGCTCTCCTGGAACACCGGGAAGCCCAGGCACTCCAGGTACACCTGGTTCTGATGGAACTTCAGGAAGTCCAGGCACACCGGGTACTCCCGGTTCTCCAGGCTATCCAGGAACACCAGGTGCTCCAGGCAGCCCGGGCTCTCCTGGAACACCGGGAAGCCCAGGCTCTCCAGATACGGCCGGTTCTGCTGGAACTCCAGGAAGTCCAGGCACTCCGGGTACTCCTGGTTCTCCGGGCTATCCAGGAACACCAGGTGCTCCAGGTACTCCAGGCTCTCCTGGAACCCCGGGAAGTCCAGGCACGCCTGGATCTGCTGGAGCTTCAGGAAGTCCAGGCTCTCCAGGTACGCCTGGTTCTCCTGGAACCCCAGGTAGTCCAGGAACTCCCAGCTCTCCTGGTTATCCAGGAACACCAGGCTCTCCAGGTACTCCTGGTTCTGCTGGAACTCCAGGAAGTCCAGGCACTCCTGGTACTCCTGGTTCTCCGGGCTATCCTGGAACGGCAGGAACACCAGGCAGTCCAGGTTTTCCAGGAACTTCAGATTCATCGAGCTCTCCTGGTCAACAACCGACAGGTCTAATAATTTCAAATTGTGTAATAATGTTAAAAAATAAATTTGAAAGAAATTTATAAATAAATTTTTATTTTAGGTGTTTGCACGAATGAAGGTTTCTTTGCTGATCCAGAAGATTGTAGCAAATTTTATCGATGCGTCAATGTTGGCTCGTCCTTTACAAAGTACGAATTTAAGTGTGGTATTGGAACCGTCTGGGATTCATCTGTTGAGAGTTGTAATCATGCTTATGCCGTGCCACATTGCAAGCAGTCGAGCGATGGAGCTACAAATGAACCTGATACATCGTCAAATGAAGTAGACAGTATTAATAAACCAGCTACAAGCGAATTACCACCGGTGCAGTCTCCAGAAAGCTCAACTTCACCAACATCTTCACAACCAGAGATACAATCAACTCAAATCACTTCCACTACGAGTAAACCTGCATCATCTCAAACTACATCAGTTTCTTATTTGCCACCCGCTAGCAGTACATATCCGTCTTCGACAATGCAAGTTACTGGATCTGCCTCTAACCTGCCTTCTACAAGTCAAACGACTGCCGCTGTATCGTATTTGCCACCTTCGAGTATTGCAACTACTAGCTCAATACCTGAATCAACGCCAGGATCTGTTTCATATTTGCCACCTTCGAGTATTGCAACTACTAGCTCAATACCTGAATCAACGCCAGGATCTGTTTCATATTTGCCACCTGATAATAACACACCTATTAAGCCAACAAGTACGTCGAATCCTGTGTCGTCCACTACTTTTTCGCCTCAAGGTGGAAAATCTGAGTGTACTGAAGAAGGATTCTTCCCGAATCCTGATGATTGCAGAAAGTTCTATCGTTGTGTGCAAGGTGAGTCCGGACATATAAAATACGAGTTTCAGTGTGGTCCAGGCACAGCGTGGGATCAATCTATACAAACGTGTAATCACATTGCCCAAGTTCCGTGTTCGACGGACAGCAACGAAATCGATCAAAGCTCTAGCACTTCTAGTACTACATCTAAAACTCCTGTCACAAGTGCTGCCACAACTGCTGCTTCTAGTCAAACTACTGCGACTACCTCGTCGTCTGCAGCTCCAATTTCTACAGAAAGTGCTACAGTCGCTAGTACTTCAGATGAAACATCTACAGAATCATCGACGTTGGAAGCAAATCAAATAGAGTCTTCATCAACGACAACTGCACCCGCTTCAGGAAAACCTGAAGAAATTCAAATGCCGGAAAGTTCTAGCACGGAAAGTTCATCCGAATCTGCATCCAGCAGTTCAGAATCAAGTGAAGAATCATCGTCTACCGAATCACACGTACCAGATTGTACGACGCAAAAGCCAAATAACACGATAGTATGCAATGACGACGGATTCTATCCGCATCCGACTCGATGTGACAAATTCTATCGCTGTGTCAATAATGGTAATGGATTCAACGTTTATCATTTTGACTGCCCACCAGGCACCATCTTCGATCCAAGTATTAGCACATGTAATTATCCTGAATCTGTTTATCCTGCAAGAGATTGTACGACTGGAGAAGCTGCCTCTGTATCTACTACTTCAAGTGAAGTCTCCGCAGAGCCTACGCCTCCATCTGAAACATCAGAACAACCCACGTCGACAGAGACTGAGGCTACAGAAAGCACAACTCAACAAACAGAAGAAAGCACAAGCGCATCCATGGAGACTACCACCACTTCGGAGGAAAGTACTACACGTTCTGAAGAATCGACGTCAGAAATTCCAGAAAGTACTGAAAGCTTGACGGAGTCTACGAGTGAATCTGCCATTCCTACTACGGAAGCCGCAACTGATTCTAACGCTTCCGAACAGACTACTGAAGCCACTACCGAAGCTATTACTTCCGCGGAATCAACAGAAGCAACCGAGTCTCAAGAACAATCCACGACAGAAGCTCAGGAACAATCGACGACAGAATCGCAGGAGCAAACGACAGAATCGCAAGAATCGACCACCACTCAAGACCAATCAACAACTGAATCGCAAGAGCAAGCAACAACTGAATCGCAAGAGCAAGCAACAACTGAATCGCAAGAGCAAGCAACAACTGAATCGCAAGAGCAAGCAACAACTGAATCGCAAGAGCAATCAACAACAGAATCTCAGGAACAATCAACGACTGAATTATCAGAGTCGACGACAGTGGCACCAGCAGCTGCGGAACCTTGTGCTCTAGGCAATTTGACAGATGATCAGATAGCTTTAGTCTGCCCCACTGGCTTCCGCAGGCATCCGAAATATTGTAATCTATTCTATCAATGCACCAGCGAGGGTAATATGGAAATCAAGATTCTTGTGCTGAGTTGTCCCGAGAATACGATCTTCGACGAGCAGAAGATTCAATGTCTACCTGAAGATAGAAGTAGTCAGTCGTGCACGGGTGCTAAAGCAAGCGCCAGATTGTATAGAAGAGTGGAAGATAGCTCTCTATCACCCGTAAGTATAAAAATACTAATCAAGCGGTAAAATATGATAAACAGTGCTAACAAAATGTTTCTTTTATTTTAGATTAAAGTATCGACAAATGAACTTTGCCCGAGAGAAGGACACTTCCCTTATCGACAAGGTTGCAGTAACACGTTTTACAAATGTAAACGCGATGCCCGGGACAGTTTACAGGGATATATGTATAAATGTCCTGAGAATTATGTTTATTGGTCGGTTTCTAGAACATGCGAACGTGTGACGCGACTCCCAATGTGTTCGCATTTAACAAACAAAACCAATTGGAACAATCAATTGCAAATACCAACCGAAAACTTTAATCTTTCCGCCCGAATGCTGCGCTTTTCTTAAATTCGATAATATCGCCTATTTCTAAACTTTTATTAGATATAAGTTACAAGTTTGCCATACAAGTTTACGAAATATTTGTAGAAAACATACATCCTCAGGTTATTTGCAGTAAATTGCAATTCTTGTTGAAAATTGAATAGACATAATCGATGCTGTAAGAATTAGCAAGATTTTTTTAGATTTAGCAAAGATAAATGTTAGAATAATCGTGTAGTTAGATGAAAAACGATCACTTTCACAATTACAATATTTAACAATTACAATATTTCTGCCATTGGTTAATTTTTTTTTATAGAATATTTTTAAAATCATGCTCATTCTAATGCAAAATGTTCTCTTAAATAGTGCAATATTACTCTAATTTATGATATTTCTTAGAACATTAACAACATGGCTACAGAAGATCTCTAGAAATTTAATGTTAGATCTTCGGCAGTCATCTTGGATTAGTTTTATGATTAAACTGCCATTATACAATTCTTAGCTAATAATAGTTATGATAGTGAATGTATTAACATTGCTGAATACAAATTGTATGTACGACTTTGCAATGAATCAGCTGAAAGAATATATCTTTATAAGAATTGGAAGTTTTTTATTTTTCCAAATAGATCAGTGATCTCTTAGATCAATTCTTGGTATCTCGATCTGCAATATTTTGATTGATTTTCGTAAGCTAACGCCTACCGGCTCCCTCTATGCGTGGTATTCATAGTTCGTTCTTAAAGCCGGAGCACAGACTTTTACATAAGACTTAAGGCATAACGCATAAGGGAATCAACCAATCAGAGATCCGCAGAATGAGAAGTGAGGATGGAAATAAAAGACTTTTATGTAAAAGTTTGTGCTCCGGCTTTTACTCTCTAAATTCTCGACACTTTGCGAATACCATGAACAATCTATACTTACTACGTCTATGGTTCTAGTGTATTTGTTGGTCACATAAAAAATTAACCAATCTTCATACATCTCATGTAAATGTATCTTTAATAAAGCGACACATGAACAGTTACCTTTAACAGCACTGCTTCCATCTAACAACTCTGCTCGCAAACAACCGGAAAAGGACGAGGTCAAACAGCAAGCGAAGAGAACACGACTGTCAAAATCAAGTTGCAGCTGTTACGGATTAATCGCCGAGTACTGATTATTGTGCGAAGATACAGAAATTAAGTATCGTGTGCTTCGTTATAGTGACAAAATGTTTCGCACTTCGACGAATTTTGATAAATTGCTGGGTAAATTTCTTTAGAATTTGTAATTCCTTCAAAATGTCGGAGTTTTCTGAGTCATTGTTAATCACTTGTAGATAAGGCGACGAGCCATTTGCAGTTGGAACCAGATTGGCCTACAATTATGCAAATTTGTGATCTTATACGTCAAAGTGATGTTCAGTAAGTACAATTATTGAAAAAAATGCACGTACATTATTTTACTTTTATTAGACATAACATGACATTATCGATGACATTTCTGCATTATTTTACAAAATTTATGTTGTTTCTAAGCATTTTATATCTTTAGGCCAAAAACTGCACTCACTGCTATAAAGAAGAAGATGATAAACAGTAATCCACATGTAGCTCTATATGCTTTATTGGTAAAATAAAATTTAAAATCATAGATTCTGAAAAAAGAATATTGTGATTATCATTCTTATGGATGTTAATTTGCATTCAGGTATTGGAATCTTGTGTAAAAAATTGTGGAACATTGATTCATGATGAGATAGCTACCAAACAATATATGGAACAATTAAAAGAATTAGTTAAAACTTCCCCTCATGAAAATGTTAGAATGAAGACATTAGAGCTAATACAAGCTTGGGCTCATGCATTTCGTCATAGTCCCAAATATAGGACAGTTCAGGTGAAAGATTATAGTTTGCTTTATTAAAATGCATAATATATATAAATTTCATAGATGATTTGGATAATTTTGATTATTGGTCTATGTTTTATATATTTATTTCTATCCTATTATTATTTATTTTGCAGGATACAGTAAACATAATGAAAACTGAGGGATATCAATTTCCCGCTTTAAAAGAAAGTGATGCTATGTTTAGAGCAGATACTGCACCTGCTTGGGCAGATGGTGAAGTGTGTCATAGATGTCGCGTAACTTTCAGCATGGTTCAACGAAAACATCACTGCAGAGCTTGTGGTCAAGTCTTTTGTCACCAGTGTTCCAGTAAAGTTTCTACTCTTCCGAAATTTGGAATTGAAAAAGAAGTGCGAGTTTGTGAAGCTTGCTATGAGCATGTTAACAAGTTAGTGGAATTTTATGTTTTTTTTACCAGTGTAAAATATTTGGATATTCTTAGTACATTGCAATTTTTAGTACATTACAATTTTTCAGACCATCTACAACGCAAACTAAAGATACAGACCTTCCAGCTGAATATCTTAAAAGCACTTTGGCGCAGCAGCAGCAGGTATATATATTGTATTTTATTGAACGCTATAAATATATATGACATAAAATAATATTATGTAAAAATATATATTAAATTACTAATTACATTCTTATAAAATACTTTTACTTTCAAATTGTGCATCAGTCTTATTAAATTTAATTATCTCAGACTATATTATATATATATTTAACTTCGAGACTATTTATATTTGTATAATCAAATTAGTAATTTCAAACATGGCTTCTCCAGAATATCAGGTATTCTTGTCTCCGTTATTCTAATATTTTGTTATTTAAAATAATTACGTTAAATAAAATAGTTATTTAAAAAAATTAATAGTAGATGTGTGCGAATAGAAAGAATAAATTATAATACATATATAATAGCAAATTACATCATAAATTTGATATAACATATAGTATTACACATAATTGATTATTATAGCATTACAAATATCAAAATTGAAAGAAAGAAACTCCTCAAAAGCTATTTTAATTTGTATTCAAACAATTTTGTACTATAATATAACATTAGTAATTAATATTATAATATATATGCTTATGTATTTCATGCTTGTATATCATTATAGGTCCCAACTCGAAAAACGGAAGAAGAACTAAGAGAGGAAGAAGAACTGAATCTAGCAATAGCTTTGAGTCAAAGTGAAGCTGAACAGAAAGAAAAGGAGAAAAAACGTGCTACAAGTGCTTTAAAATCCAATCCTACTCCCGTATCTAGAACGGTGTATTCACCACCACCATCACCTGTAAGTTTTTCGTCATTTTTATTGAGTGGCATTAATCTACATAATTTTTTTAATTAATTGAAACCAAATGCGAAATATAATTTTTCTCATTAGGGTCCTAGCCCGTTACGAGTACAAGAAGACGATGAGTTTGAACCCGAACTTGCTAAATATCTGAACCGCAAATATTGGGAACAAAGACAAACTGTAAGCGAGGAGCATGGAACAAGAACAGATGTGACCAGTCCATCTGCACCTAACATAAGCAGTCCGATGCCCCAAAAAATCATACTTGTAAAACAGGAAAATGGCGAAATTGATACTCAGATGGAAGAATTCGTAAGTGGTCTACGATCTCAGGTTGAAATTTTTGTTAATAGGATGAAAAGTAATTCGTCAAGAGGAAGATCAATTGCTAATGACAGCTCGGTTCAAACCTTATTTATGAATATAACAGCCATGCATTCCAGGTATGTTCAATTAGACTATTAACGTTATTTATAATTATATTTTGCATTGTACATAAATTGAATTTTATTTGAATAAAGGATGCTTTTTTTCCTGTAGATTATTGAGATATATTCAAGAACAAGATGATAATAGAGTGTATTACGAAGGCTTGCAAGATAAATTAACTCAGATAAAAGACGCCAGAGCTGCTCTAGATGCGCTTCGGGAAGAACATAAAGAGAAGTTACGCAGGAGAGCAGAAGAAGCTGAAAGACAGCGGCAGATGCTAATGGCGCAAAAACTGGCGATTATGCGAAAGAAGAAACAAGAATATTTGCAATATCAACGCCAGTTAGCTTTACGAAAGATTCAGGAACAAGAGAGAGAAATGCAAATGCGTCAAGAGCAACAGAAACAGCAATATATAATGGGTAATTAAACACGGTTTCAAATCATTTCAATTATTATTGAATTACCCATCTATTTTTTATCTTTACAAAAATATCTTGTATTCTTACAGGCGGTTATCAAGCAGTTCCCGATTTTATGGGACCTTCTCAAGGATCGCCTGTTCGCCATGTGCATTATCCGACTCCGGGAGCTAATTATAATCCCATGTCGCCGACAAATCAAGGAGTTTATATGTACGGCCAACCACCTATGAATCAATACACCATGCAAGGTTACAACATGCCGCCGATGAACACTTTGCCGGTGCACATGATGCCGCCGCTTTCTAATCCGGAGCAACCGTCGTCAGATCCATCCGTCCAAGGACAGGAGAATATAGGACGCATGCCTATATCAGGACCGGCGATGGTAAATATGTAACCTTATTGCAATTGTCTTTATTCCCTTCTTTTTTTCTATCAATGAAGCTGAGCTATTTTTAAATATTACTCTTCCGCAGATGCCGCCTCAGATGACACCGCCTATTCAGCAACTTCAACCATCGAGCAACCATCAGATAGGACCTCAGCAAGGCGCTCCGGTGCACGTGCCACCAGGACAAGCTTCGGCGGGCCGGCATATACCACCTCAGCAAGGCGTCTCGTCTCCGATGCCGCAGCAAGCACCACCTCCTACTCAAATAGGATTGCCTCCGATACCTCAAGGTCACCTGACCCCTTCGTCTGGCTCGGTGGCTCCGGGAGGTCACGTACCCACCGTGGTGGGTCTGCCTCCGCAGATGGGGTCGCAGCAACCGTCAACAATGCCCGGTGCCCAAGGAACTTCGATGCCATCACACGTTTCCAGTGTTACTATTGCATCCCAACCTTCGGGTGTCATTCAAGTGCCTGCCGGGGCTTGCAGTGGACCCGTTCCTGCAGCAAATCAAGGATTACCCGGCCCTCAACCGTCCGGTGTGCCGGCAATGCAAGGAATAACTCAAATTTCAGGGGCGCAATCAATGCCGTTTCAATCTGTGCCTGCAATACCAACTACAGCCAGCGAAACTCCGCAAGAAACGGAAGATGTCAAGCCTAGGACGGCAGAATTAATCTCTTTCGACTAAATAAACCGAATATTACGTATGCATTTAAGGTAACAGAAAAAAAGATATTATTTTACGTTTGTTTTTAAATTGAAAGATTGAGATATCGACATTGCAATATTAAAATATGATTGCTTATTTTATCGAATTATTGTAGTATATACATACGAAGTATGACTACATATAAAGATTACATTAGCAGGATACGATAACGCAAAATATGTGTGAACCTGCTACGTATTAATTTTATATACATTGTGCAATTTACGACACTAAAATAAAAAGTTGTCTTGCTATATCGTTCCTTAAAAAAATTGTTTATGACATACATCCATACGCATGTACAGGATATGTTCTAACCTATAAAACAAATAAAAATATGATTTCTAATGTAACAACTTAATTACTAATTTATTTTACTCGACAAATATATCATTATATTCGATTCTTAAATGTTCCTACATTTTTTACATTAATTAAGATTATGTAAAGATCACAATTTCCTTTATTTTTTCAAATGATAGAGAAATTATAATCAGCAAAAATATATATACATGAATTAATTACAAGAATTGTTACACGATTCGTCGCTCCATGTTTTATCCTTAAGTGATTAATTTACATTCTTAAGTAACACGAATAAAAAAAAATTTCTTACTTTAAATTTCTGAAAGATGTGTTTGGTTTAAATTACTAGTTTGTCGAGTTGCTGTTTGTAAAATCACACAGTTTCCACCTGACCCTTCCTACGTGGCTTCGATTCCTGCGCTTGCGGAGACGTGAAAGACGTTTCTTCAGAGTGTTTCCTGATAGAAGAAGACTCGCTGTTATTTGAGCAAGTAGCACTTTGACTGTCTCTTCTCTCTGAACATATATGCGTTACGTTTAGTCCATTGGACGTGAGGGAAGCTTTTCGAATTCGCATGTCTTCCAGAGGAATCTCTTCACTCCGCGGCCTTGGCATCTTGGGCGAACTGTCTCTGGACCGCAAACCGTTTTCATGAATCTTCTCGTTCGAATTGGCATCATCGCGTTTGGAACTCGACGATGCCACTGGTCTAACAGTTTCCCGGCGCATTTGAGCGGCAAACCCAGGAACTTTGTTCACCGTGAACATCGGCCTCTGATCCTTTTGCAGTCTCTGACCACGTCCGGCTACACCTGAAAAAAAATCGAAGCAACCAAGATTTGCAAAGATTTCACTGATTCCGCGTAATTTTAAACTTACGATCGTGTCGTAAACCGCGTAAGGCGTAGTTAGGCGGTGTCGAACAATGAGGCATGCTTGTCGGAATGTCCAGCAATCTTGCAATCTGATTCATTTTTTTCTGCCTTGCTTTTATTCGTCCCTTTGTCAGCCTGAATTATTACAGCAATTTAATTAGCATTTCAATAAACGCGACTTCGCTTCAAGTTCGCTATAAAACTCACCTTTGTTTGGCAGCCATACATCGAATGTGATCGTCAAATATGAATTTAGCCGACAGCAATGGTATACGATTGCCCGTGCTGCTGTTTAACGGTTTGTAAATTGTCAAATGCAAACACCTTGAGTCGTCCTTGTCACCAGCCACATCGATATCTTGTAAAAAACCGACTAGTTTCGCGACACCCCATCCGAGCTTGCTGGTATCGGGCTCCACGAGAATCAATTGCACGACATCGATGACCAAAAAACGGCGAATTTTCTGGCCGTCTTTCCACACGACGGTGCATGCAATTAAATCACTATTATCTATAAAAATAACGAATCTGTATCATTTACTGTTCCGTATCGTATAATTGCAACCAAGAGGAGGTCAAATATTTCAAATAACTCTCACTTAGGTCAAGAACGTTGTTAACTTGTACACAATTAGCTGGATTGGTCAACGGTAATTGAGTCTCCACTTCCATATTGAGCGTCAGAGACAATTCTCTTATTAAGAAGAAAACTCTTATTGCGCGCCGCGCCCTTTCCACCTGTGCAATCATAATTTCTTTTCAGTTTTCATGCACAATTTATTTGAAAACATATTTTCTATTCTTACGTACCTCACCACACGGCAGTCTTTTACTAAATTCAATTCCAGTCATAGGTGTGCCGGTGGGAGGCAATAAAATATTGCTGTCCATCATCAGCCATTCGACATTCAGCGGGCGTTTCTGTATCTCACTATATTCGTCCTCAAACATATCCAAGAAAATATCTTCACTCTTCAAAACAGTAAAGTTCATATATTTTTCTCGCATAAATATATCTCAATTAAAATCTAGTTTTTAATCATTCACATACCTTGTAGAAGTTTTTGAGCAGAGACGTGCTTTGTTCTTTCGCTGCTTCGATGGCTGTTAGATGCGATTCTCGTAATAAGCCTTGTCCTTCAGATACCATTAGCTGCGTCAACAACTTGATTGTTAGCTCCAATGTGACAAGTCTTACTTTGGCATCTAATAAAAAATTAATATTCTCGTAAAAATGGAAGCTACGTAAATATTTCAAATTTGTAGTAAGAATATTTGATGTGACTCACTTGTCTGACAGCTTAATGTTATAATATGAATCAATCTATCCATGAGTAATTCATTATATGAATTTTTCACAGAGGTATTATTTTGAAATGGAGACAAAATTATATCGAGACTTTGACGACTTATACCCTTGCAAAAACAAACAAATTGATTTGTTATTACATATTTAATAATAAGATAAATTTGTTAGAATTTGTAATAATTACCTGATTATTGGCTAATGCATACAGTAAGCAAAGTGCGAATAATGCAGCATAATCATTCTCCGTACATAATAAAGAATTGATTATTGTTTCTAAAAATGGCTTCTTCGCTAAAGATCCATGCATGTCACTTTGGCTTTGATGCGGTGTCAAAGGGCTCTCTAAGGCCAAGCGTTGTTCTTTCTCCTCATCTGTCACATTCAATTGCTTAATTTCTTCTAAATCATCTTCGCTAGGAATACTTGTATCCAATGGCGTACTTATAAGAACGGGAGTATTTGCTGTTGAAGAATCGCTAAACGATGTGCTTGGTTGATTACATTCTTGCAGTTCCTCAATCGCATTCTCAGTCGCTCCTGTTTCGTTGTCGTCGCAAGATCTCTCAGACAACGGTAGCGTTTTGCTCAGAGTTTCCAGGGATTTTTTCAACGTTTCTTTCGATGGTGAAAAAGTGAGAGATTTACTCGACATTACGGTTTCAAATTTTTCTAAAACTCTATTCATCCCACTTTGAATTGTATCTAAGTCAGACATAAGCATTACGACTGCCAGTGTATGTACAAGAGGTCCGTGCGACACTATCAAAAAGACTTGAGAAAGTAGAAAAAGTGCTACTACAACACTGACGTGTTTCCTCTCATCCTAAAAATCCAAGTTAATTGTTATTACGTAAAAATTAAAAATACAAGAATTTTATACATACCTGAGTTTGGCACAGAACATTTTTGTGTTTCATCAGAGAATAAACATATAACGGGATTAATAGCTTATGTAACAAATGATCTGATAGAACTTTATTTAAGTCTGCTATATTCAAAGACAAAATGTCATTTAAATAATGCAAATGGTCCAAATGTTCCGCAACTAAATCTGATAATCTGTTTTGACTCTGATGACTGAAAGTACATTTTATTAATAACGGAAGCAAGTAATACCTAAGCTTTCAATGTTTAATACTTACTCAGCATCATTTCGGACACAAGTGTCCAATTCTATAATATGATCGCCAATGAACCAGACAAGATTACTAAAGTATGGTGCAGCTGTGCGATCTCTTATGAAAGCTAGCATAGATGCATCCTCAACACGATACACATTCAGAGTCAAAGTTCTCACAGCTATGCGTACCATACCTTCCGAATGGTTGAAAAATTTAATTGCTTCCGTGTACAGTGGAAAATCATTGGTATGCTAATAACAGAGAAAAATATTTATTATAATTTTATAATCACTAATACAGTCAATTACATAATACACAAATATATAACACTTACACGATAAATATATTCCTAATAACTTTGAGATCAATAAATAACAAATAATTATAACTAAAAAGACAGACACAAAAAATCATTATGTGTACCTCGTTTACCTCGTTATAGAAGAAATGGATGGTATGTGCGTTTAGTTTTAGACTCAGCGTCTTCAAAAAACTGATATAGTACGCCATTACTTCCTCATCACTAAAGTCAAATTTGTGCACTATTATACTGTTTACATGATTATTACTTAATAGATAATCTGTGTAAAAATAAGAGATTTTAGGAAATTACGGATTTGACAGTTATTTAATATGGAGTCATTAATTTCACCCAACTCACATAAAGATGTCTCATTGCGTATGTTTTCAAATAAAATATTCAATGTTTGAAGCAATTGAACACACACGTAGCTCCCACATTTTTGCTTCATAATACGTAAAAAAAATGAAAGCATGTTTTTCTCCAGAAAAAAACTGTGAATACACAATACTTTATGAATAACATTTTAACATTTTGCATATCATGCTTTCTAGAATAGTATCACCTATCATAAAAAGCAATACTCCGTTTCATGAGAAAATAATTTTAATTTAATTAAATGCTTCAGTCCAATTAAATCAAGATTATTCTCTCATGGCACAAAATGTAAAAGTAACATTGTTATTATTTACTCAAATACACTGCTATCATTTTGGTCACCCCATATGAGAATCTCAGCAATGGAGCGTAGAGTTTCAACTAATAAACCTCTATTGTTCTCAGATACAGTTTGATTCTTTGATAAGACATTGTACAGGTACCTAAACGTAAAACACACAACATAAAATATATATTTTTTTTGTTGATAAAATAGCAACGCATTTATCAACCATCTACGTACTTAAGATGCTCAGGAGAATGAGGATTTTTAGGCTTCCAAAGCCCACCTCCGAACCAGCTCCGACTTCGAAACATCTTCGACTATCTGGTGTGTCTGCATTCGCGTTCCATCCAAATTCTTTCCTCTTTCGCTTTTTCTCTCAACACTGATGAACTATGAACGTCCGACGTTAGGTTAAAATTAAATCAGATTTCGTCATTGATGTCCTTATCTACACAAGTTACTCAGGAATCGTGCATCTCTAATCATTTTATCTGACATACTCCTGATGTACACGTTAAAACCCGTTGAATTTATTGTATATGTCGATTAACAGGGAGCTAGCGAAGACCCACGTAGGTCAGGTGTGGGCTGGTACTGAAGTGCGTTGCGCGAATGTGACGTATATTACTGTTTTTGTTTATTATCAGCATCAACAAATCGTCGATAATGAGAGTACTGGAGCTATACAGCGGTATCGGGGGAATGCATTATGCGCTCCGTGGTAAATTTAAATATTGAAAACTGTTATTTTGAATTATAGTATGAGGTTAACCTATAATATTAATCTATCTGTATATATGTACATATATATGACATACATGTATTATTTCAGAAAGTGGAATTACAGCAAAAGTCGTCGCAGCAATTGACATAAATCCAAATGCAAATGATGTTTATCGTCACAATTTTCCAGACACCGTTCTCATGAATAGAAATATTCAGTCTATTGATGCAGAAGAATTGGAGAAATTGGATGTAGACACTATACTTATGAGTCCTCCGTGTCAGCCTTTTACTAGATTAGGATTAAAAAAAGATGCTCTTGATAACAGAGCTTGCTCTTTATTACATATTTTGAGTTTGATACCAAACTTAAGAAATTTAAAATACATTCTGCTGGAAAATGTCAAAGGTTTTGAGATATCGGAAATGAGAGACAAACTAATACATTGCGTGGAAAGCTGTGGATATGCCTATAGAGAATTAATATTAAGTCCATGTCAATTTGGTATACCAAACAGTAGACTTAGGTATTATTTACTGGCAAAGAGAAATAATTTGAAATTTTGTTTCAAACAACCCTCATTGGATAATTGCTTATCCTCTGAATTACTCAAATCACTGCCACAAAGTAGGCATTCTGTATTAGCAAAGAAAAATGGCAAGATTAATCCCAAATCTGACAGGATATGCTATACATTAGATAACATCTTGGAAAACACTGAGGAATCAAGATATTTGATACCCTCAAAATTCTTACAAAAGAGAGCATGGGTGTTAGATATACGAACATCTGAAAGCGCTGGTTCTTGTTGCTTCACCAAAGGATATGGACATTACGCAGAAGGTACAGGATCTGTATATTGCCCATTCACGGATGAAACAATTAGATTGAAATACAGTGAAGCTGACAATCACAAGAATAATTCGGATAAACAGGTACAGATTCTGTCAGATTTGAAACTTAGATTTTTTTCACCTAAAGAAGTTTACAGATTAATGTGTTTTCCAGAAAATTTCGATTTTCCAAAGCATATTACAGATAGACAAAAGTATAAATTGTTAGGAAATTCAATCAATGTTCATGTCGTTAGCAGGTTGATGCTTTTATTACATAATGAAAATGAAAATATATGAGAAATAAAATTAAAATTAATATTAATATTAATAAAACTATCATGCATTTTTTCATCCTTTCACCCTAATTTATATGCTTATATATGTAATATAATATATGCTATATGTAGTTTATATAGTATATATAGGTCATAATGCAATATAATAGATGCTATATATATGTATATATATAAAGTTTATATAGCCTCCAATTCAGGTGGAATAATGATTTTTTTTTCTTGAGCAAACTTTTTTAATGCATGATATTTCGAATGCCAGGAGTCTATTTCCTCCCTCATACGATTGTTGTCGTCTTGCATAGCTTCCATATCTCGGTATTCTTGAGTCTTTTCAGATTCTAGCTCATCTTTTTGTTCGATACGTTTTATACGACAGCTAGCTGCATATCCTCTATTCTTCAATGTGCGTCTTCGCTGTTTCATACGCACAATTTCTTCCCTGGACAGTCCACGCAGTTTCAATTGTCTGTTCAAATCTCGTACTGATATTGTAACCAGCTCATCATCACTGATATCAAGACACGGGCCAGGTGACAAGGGATCCTGTCAATAAAGAGCATATATAAATATTATTGTTTAATAGAAAGAATTTCATATAGAATGCTACAATATAAAATTGTGTGCTTAATTTGTACATAAAATTGTTTGATACATAAGTTCAATGATAGAAAATTATGCTCTACTTATCATGCTAGTTGACGTTTGCAAAGTGTCAGAAGAAGACATGTTGCATACGTAATGCTACACAACGTACCATTTTAATAGATCTCTTCCCATCCATACCCTGCTTTGATAACTTTTCACGACCAAGAGTAAAATAGTCGTGAAAACGCTTGAATTCCTCTGTCTTTTGCGCTTTTCCAATAAATTTGCTTAGTCATTCTTGTAAACGAGAGGTGCGTTCAGTTTAAGTGCTGGAAATTTATAGTTCATGTCACGTATACTATAGATTTTCAGTACTTTTATGCGAATCATGCATGCATCTGAGGAAGACGCAATCGCCATTCCTGTTACTAATCCATCCTAAAAACATCAACTTCAATGTAATTATATAAATTCTATGCAAAATTTTTGCATATAGTTTCTGTTTTATTTTTAATCTCAAAATGTTTTTCTTTCATTTTATTGTTTACAACAAAAAAATTACCCAGTCCAAAGATAATTACAGAGTCGATAATTCAGTATTCTTTACAGTTTGCAGTCGATAAACGAGTTTGTTTTGTACAAGTATTTATGGCGCGCTATTATTTGATGAAGATGAAAAGCAAAGCCTGGATTATTCTTTAGAAAACGTCAAGTTTTATATGGCAAATATATTTAGCAAAAATGAATTTTGCACAATTTATAAATTTATCTTCTATTTGATTTAAATTGTTATAAGATATTTAAATTTGAAAAAATAAATGCTTAATATCGTTCTTATAATTATCTAATTTGGTTGATATTATTTATATTTTATGATAATGTTAAAAATAACAAGTGGCAATTTAATAAGTAAAATTATATATCTTACAAAAATCTAATAAAAATAGCTAGTAAACGATAAAATTCTCCACTATTTCTTTTTATAATTTCATTATTAAATATGTACAGAGATAAAAATCAATAATTTCATTTAATAAACTTCTGATGCTAAAGTAAAATAAAAATTACGTAGCGAGTTAATAATGCCTGTTTGTATAATAATAATACATGATAGTAAAAATCCTTATGCAACAACGAAAATTTATATGGTTCTAGAAATATTATAATTTATATAATGAGAACGAAAAAAAGCATTTTTTTTGGAATAAAAATTTCTCTGTAGATTTATATTTATTTACATATAAAAATATAAATATTAATAAAAAAGATAAGAAGAAAATAGTGATAGTTTGCTTCAAATTATCATAAAATGGAACATATAAAAATCAAATAATTTTTATTATTGTTTGTTTATTAAAAAATATTTTTAAGTATTTAATTAAAATTCGAATACGTGCATCTATTTGTAAGAATATTTATATCTATGGCTTGATACAAAAAGTGCCTGTCATTTTTTTTCTTAATTGGAGGATTTCTTAGAACCATAAATATTTTTTACATAGATATAACTAAATAGCAACTATATATATTTCTATAAAAGAGACAATAGTAAAAACTAAAGCAATGAGCTTAAGCACAAAATTTTATCCTATCAAAAAGAATGAAACTAGAATTAATAGTTTTGCTACTTAATTCATCTCTATCAATCGTTATTATTATTCTAATCTGTTCGTGTTTTTACATTTTTACTTTTTACCGATTTAAATAGTAGTTGAGAATTCATCAGTCTGATTTATCATTGATCATTACTACTTTAAAACATGGTTTGTGCTACATTGGATGTAACTGTTTGGACACAAAAAGTGATATGATTCTATAGAAAGCTATTTCATTCATCTAAAGCATAACTTTCTCAAAACATAATACAATTACATATCACGCTTTATATTTATTTAAACAAAGACTTCAATTATATCTTTGTAAAAGTTTTAAGTGTACTAAAATCACTGAACTTGTCTTTTCCACCTAAAGCCATGTTGAATTATAACGATTCGAATGCTTTAGCAATCAAATATCTCTTTATAAACGCTTCTTCCAATCCTCCTAAAAAAAGTTTTCCCGCAAAATGACGACACTGATTTCCTTTTGTTGAAAGCAAAGCTGCACTTTTCAATCCTCAACACAGGATGGAGTGTCCGTAGGAAATTTCGATGAATTTTCATCCGACGATAGCTATACATGCCGTTACGGAGGCGTCATCGGTCGACCTCGGACGTCCTCGGGCGTCGCGTCGACGTCTCGACGAGGCGCAGCCGACAGTCGGTGGCTGGACGTCGCGACGCATGTATACTGCACCGGTGATAAGCGTACGTCCGCCTCCGCACGGTTGGTACTTACACGCGACTTCCGCTTGTCAAGAAAAAAAAAAAAAAATTACGCGTCGACTCTCGATAAACCCTCGCGAAAATATTATTCACGCGTGACCATCTCATCAGGCTAAAAGGATTTCTGGCGAGGAGAGTGCGCTGCAGAAATGCGTAACAATCATTGCTTACGCGGACAACACTGATGGTGTGTATATTCAAAAATTCTGTGTGGAAAATATCAATAATCGATGATCACGGACTAATGTGAACAGAGATTGAAAAGGGCGAAGGCGTCTATTGGGCGCCCGCCCCGCGAGAACGTGGGGGAAATAAATGTAGCATGCGACAGGATAAATCTACCGTTGTTCACATAAGAAAAAAGATTATTAATCACTTCATATATCAAATTTTGTACGATAAGAAAATGAAATGGGAAATTAAGACAGATATGAAAGTAATTTCGCTTAAATGTGAAAGTTTAAACGACGAATAATCTAAAAAAAGACATTTACACTCCATCGAAATATTTCAGTGAAAAATTCGATAGAAAGATGCTTATATGTACGAAGTTTCATGGGATTCAATGAACTTTTCTCTCAAAATCATGTAAATAGAAATGAAAATGACATGCAACGGAATGATGAGCTTATTCGAGTGACTGACGGGGACGCTTGTTTTTTTACGGTAGGACAATTTTCACCAATAAAAATTTCCTCTCGCGATAAAAGAAGTACAAAAATGTAATTATTTAGGGGGTGAGAAAAGTTTTATCACTAATCTAAGTTATATAGTGACCTTTTCGGCACCGTATTTATTATTAAAAGCTTATACTTAAGGATGGAGGCAAGTCCCTTCGCTGAAATACGAAAGTAGAACTAAATATAGTGTGCAAGGGAGTGGCAATGTCTAGATCATTCAAGTGGCACATTTGTTTTTATATATCTAGCAATACTGCGGAGAAAGTTCAATGAGAATGCGAGTGATCGCGATGCGGGGCAAAGAAGGTGCGCTTGACGCAGGATCAAGAGAGGAGTGTGAAAGGGGAAATTAGATCTTGCCATTTTATCCCAGCGTTGAGGGAAGGACATTTTGTTTCGTATTTTTGATGCAAACGACTGCAATAATATAAAACATTTGCCACGAACACGCGAAAATTCGATTATTATTCATCGAATAGCCATCGTAAAAAAGTACTTTCAATAATTTATTGCCACAATTAACCTAAAACCTTTGAAAAATCGTTGCATATATATCGTTTGAGATGAAAATGTAGATTGTGATCGAACATCTGGAATAAATATCGAACTATTGTTACATCATTAATAGTCAATTGATACCGATCGAAGTTTCGGGTTAGGTTCATGCGCGCAGGAGCATCCTCTTTCGTCTTTGCTTGTGTGCCATAAAGATTTTTATATTTTATTTCTGATATATATATAATTTGTCTTGCAATGGAAATATTTTGTTAATCCCGTGTCGCATATTTCTCTACACAGCATTAATTATATTTGTATGTTCAGTGAAATTCCTAAGTATACGACGTTTCTTTATGAATTTTACTTTTTAAGTACTATTTATTTACATCTTAATCATTTTTTCAATAAATATTTTTAAAAAATGAGATAAATTTGACACAAACATAATAATAATTGCATTTTTAATTAAATAATTAATTAATAAAAACTACGCATATAAATTTAGAGAAGAGTCAAATTAATGATCGGGTTGTTACAAGAAAAAATATTGTGTATATAAATATTGTGTAAATATTGTGAAAGTAAGGGCTTCATATGCATTGAAGATGTTTTACAACAAAACGCATAATGCGTATCATATGCATATGATTATACATTATTGCAGATATTATATCTATAATTATAGTGATCAATAACACGTATGCACTATGCAATCACTTGTCATTCTACTTGCTCGTGACGATTATAATAACGACAATTGCATAAAATGATATAATTTCTTTGGTTAAAGTACAAACTGATAACAATTATATGCATATACTTCAGCGGAAAATATATACTATCGGTATTTTCGCTGTAAGAAGAATAATTTTGTCGGATAGACGTGAATAGGATTAAAAGAAAAAGATTACTTTTTTGTGCAGTCGGGATATCCGTAAACTCTCATTCTATAATTCACTTAATAACGTCAGTCGGGACGTCCAATTTCTTTTTCTTTCTTCTTCATTTCGGATCATTCAGGGATCCCCACTTTTATGGCGATATAAATCGCGCTTATTGTTAGTTCAATACTCACTTACGGGAAAATCTTGGATTTTCACCGCAAGCTCTCTCACGTTTTATCGCGTTCTGTAGCTCATGGGGATTTTCGCATTAAAATCTCTACATTTGGCAAGGAAAATCGTAGCGGAGAACATTGCGCGTATTACTTCGGCAACGCTGCTAACAAACATTGATATTTTAATCGGTTGAATTTACCGAGCGGAGAAAATTCTTTAAGTAGACTATAATTGTTTTCTATTAACATTTATTTAATAAGAGAAATTATGTTTTGCATGCAACAAATCAGTTCTTTGACGTGTTGCAAAACACTGTTACGATGACTTTGCATGGTTTCTCGAACATTTCTCGAACATTTCGGGTTGCTCTAAAACCCTACCCTGTTTTGTATATTACTTTTTTGCACACTACCCTCAAAACATCAGAAATACCCTCAACAGCAGAAATTGTATGAATAATTCAGGAGTAACTTGACGCACGCTGACCGTTTGTCTTCGAAAGTAGAAAGAGGTTGAGACCCTTCGAATACCATCGCTAGCAAACGTGAATCAAGATTATGTCGAGGGCTTTTAAGTTCTCCAGCTTCTCTCTTCATCTTACGAAGTTTTGCGATTTATTATCGCAGCTTTTTATTTTACTACCGTCGGGAATCTGGTGATTCCTCTCACAGATCATCTCTTTCCACTCCTTACATGAATCGTTCATCTCTCTCAATTTTTAACAATTTAATCTCGCGCATATCTTTGTCACGGCTCGAAAAAATTCGCATGTGAAGCGTCTCGTATGTATCGCGATATTGTTCCATTTTCATATATGTGCGTGATACATAAATCTATTTTTAATCACGACGTTGCAAACATATGTTAAAATAATTTGATTTCGTGGTATCATTAATCATTCCGATGTAATCTGATTTAATGTTTCTGCCAGCTAGTGCGTTAATATTAATTGTTAAATTAACAATGAAGGATCTATTTAATAATGAGTGGTCTAATTAAAATCAGTATGAGACTATTACGAAAATTCAATTAATATGACGCCATTCGAGAAATTTTCAAAGACACTGAATATTAAAAATAGACTGAATTTGCACTCGGAAATGGTAAATTGCATAATTGTACTGGCACCGAAGATAAATTACACTAGTAAATCATTTAACTAGTTGGCCGTGGATTAACCATGCTATCAACCATGAGTGATTAATGAATCGTTAAGCGTAGCTTTTACATCATCAATCCTGGAATTTTTGTAAAAGCCTCGTAACAATGTAGTAACACAGATACTAAAGTGGATTGATCCTTTATTTGGCGGAAATGGAATAATAACTGAAAATCTCTCTTCCACGTTACAATTGAATGTGACATACATAATTAAAAATATTTTTTTAATCTTTCCTAGACACAAAACTTCTACTTGCTTTTCTGAATTAGAGAAAATTGCTTTCGGAATTTACACCGCATGTGTATTACGGCGATGTTAACCGGATATAACGGTAAAAGTGGTACACGGAGTAAAATCGTGTTACTTGAGAGCGCTATCAAATAAAGCGTTGAGTAAAAATTAGTTTAAGTATGTTTTTAGCTGGCGCGCTGAGCAAAGAATAAGATTGATACAAGCTTGCCGGTGGCTAGTCTATTATGCTTATGTGAATAACGAATTGAGTAACTCTTGCATTTAGAGACAGTTCTTGGAAGCCGGTTAAGCGATTTAGCCAGTGAATGTCGAAATGCTAATTTAATACGCTTATGCGTGTAATGACTTTGGCTCGGTAACCAAATCAATGAAATCCCATTGTATCATTCTCATTGTTACTGTAACTAGATATTACGTTCAATCGAATTTATTATTATAGTATATAATACATCTTTTTTAATGAGACGTTACGTAATAAAATATTGCACAAGGCTATTATATTAATCGCTTCATCAGTTAAAAGTATTACTATTATTTACGGAAGCACGTGGATGTTTCGCAAAAAAATATTATATGCTTAAACAATGCATTGCTAATTAAATTACTTCAATTTGTTTAACAAATTAGAAAAATTTCGTAAATTGGAGGAAAGTATTTTTTTTTAATATAAAAAAATTATTTGTCGCGTTTGTGAGAGCATCTTATATGTTACTTCAAGCGCGAACTTAATAAAACATTACCGTTAATTCATTAATTACGACTGTTAGTAATCCAACTTAACAGATCGAAGGAATGTTTCTCCACCTCGCAGGCATGTCTGATGTGTAACACGTTGAAGCTCGGTGCACTATGTTACATCCTGCCAAGGATTCCATTAATTTCTGCCCATGCTCCGCAAAGCGATCGTTGGAACAGTTGCTCCGAATAGTTTCCATGGTCTGCGATGTTCGATGACCCAACCAAATGCGTCGTTAGGCGCTTCAGTATTATATGTCACATTTCCCGAATAGCTATCATGCGACAAATTTACAAATTGCATTCGACAACTGCATTATGCAGAATTATACAATTTCGTACAGCGGAGAGTTGTCGAATTTCGACCGCCGTGTATTTTGAAAAAGAGGGATATTTGCTGTGTCATGATTGGCCGGCTTGAAGGGCGGAAAGTGGCATCGAGGCAGCCTTTCCGCTCTCAGTCTCGCTGAGAGGAAAAGCAGCGATGTGCGAACATTATCTTTCCTGACGTTTCAAATCAATTTTCTACTACATCTCGCAAGTGCTATAATTTTAAACGTTACTCGCAGAACACAAGGTCTCTCATTACTGCGAGTAGTTCAAAACGTACTAAAAACGTTTTCTTTTCTTAAAAAGAAAAAAAGCACGCTATATGTACTTTCGTGTGTATATTCCCATAGTTGTTTCCTTTCTGCAGTGTTTTATGTTTTGTGTACAAGAGAAAAATTAAAAACTGGTCGAAATTAGGCTACTTGCCATTATGTCGGCAGCGGAGTGGTAAAAAATCTCACTCGCGCTAAAT